TGTTTATGTTGGGTTCGTATGATCAAGTATGCATGCAAACCATGTAGCCTATCGACGTGAGCTGATTCGACCGTCGATATGGTTGTCCCCGTCGATGTAATACGGTTACCCTTGCGAGGTAAGTCTCCCTAAGCCCTAATGAAAGTCTGTGTCCGTAGCGTGGCACGTACCCCAACCGTTAGGGTAATGAATCCCCTTTCCGTGACTAATGAAAGATGTGTACACAGGGGTAGTATGTTATGTTGTGTTGTGATATGGAGAGGTGACAGAATAATTAATTTATGTTCATTCTGCGACCATACCATCTTTACATTGTTATTATTGTGATATATTTGCATAGTGGTGAGCACTATGTTATCATTTGTGCTCACTCTCACATGCTCTTCATGGATGCAGGTTAAGCAGTTGGCGAATGACGAGACAAGACGAGTGGGTGGTCTTTATTTATTGCAATTAGCTTTCGCTTATTATAAACTATGTTTGAGACATGTTGAAAACCGTTTTCGAAATTTATGTTTTTGGATTTGATGGTTTTGAGATATTCATGTTGCTTGAATTTATAAGATTCTGATTATGCAAGCTTTATGATTAAGCTGAATGTATGTGACATGTTATGAAACGGGTTAATGAAAACCGTGTGAAAATCAGGTAATGAATCCTTGTAGGTCCAGATAAGACTTTGACTGAGTAAATTTTTGTTTAATGCCCATGAATTTCGAAAATGATTTTGAAAAATGTTTACCTGATTTTTGAAAAGCCATGGATTTTCGTTAAATCAAAGTGAGGTGTTACAAATGTCATATTGTTAATTATATACATGGTAACTTTGTATGTACTTAACCTACCTGTTTACAAAAACTCCGCCGATTAAACCCTCCCTCTAGAAAATCCCCAATTCCGCCGCCCTCCTCGTCTCTTTCATTTGCTGGCCGAGTGCCTTCTCATCGGCAAATCGAACAATAGCCAGCGTTCGACCCTAATCTGCACACTTCTGGCCTTGCTCGTGTGCCCCGTTTCTGTTTATTCTGTCCGAGAGCTATGGATTGCCGTCTATCACCGGGATTCTCCTAAAAAATGGTGTCGGCGGGTGGGTGTGGTCTATTGGTGTCCTTGGATTTCGGGGTATTTCAGAGAGGGGCGTGGCGACAGGGGCGGGACATGGCTTGGGTTGCTTGCGGTTTCTGGTTGTGGTGGCCGGAGTTGGGGCGATTTCCTCAATGCCCTTCTCCTCAGATTTGTGGTATGTGGGTTATGAGGAGGTCGGTGCAGTCGGACTGGTCCAGTGGTGTTTGTTTGGTCCGATGTACGGGTGGTGTGAGGAGCGAGGTTGGTTGTTCTCCGGATGTGGGTCGGGTCAATCTCCGGGTGTGGCTTGGGGCTTGGGGGTATGCTTCTGTTAGGCCATTGTCGGCAATCTCAGGAGCAGGCCTCGTAGGACGTGGTTGAGCTTGCCGAAGTTGATCGAGTGCCCGGTGGTACCTGTTCGCTGTGTTGGTTTTGATATTGCTGATGGGAAGGGCTATATTCATATATATATATATATATATATATATATATATATTTCTTTTTTGTTTCTAGTTTGTTTGTGTGTTTTATTCTGTTCTTGTGTTGTAGGTGTAGATTATTAGGTTAGTGTTTTGTGTTTTGTGATTTGTGATTGGCACGTGTTGGTATTGAAGTCTCTTATTTGGGAGTAGACAGATCTTCCGGAGGGGAGTAGACTGATCTATTGTGGGGAGTAGAATTTTTCTCCCGTGGGGAGTTGTTTCTTTTTATTGATTGTAGTGGTTGTGGGTGAGTTGTGATGTGTTGGGTGTTTTACGCCATGCCTTGTGTATTATTCTCTCTGTATTCTCGTTTTAGTTTGGGCTTTTGCCCCGTTTTGTGTTTTATGAGATTATCTATCGTTTGGAAAAAAATAATAATTATATAATTGGTACTATAATACTAATATAAAATATAATAATAATGTAAATAATATTTTGTACGAAAAAAACGAAACAGGACAAACGGGATGGCTCAGGACAAAAATATGCAAAACCAATACAAACATTGTTTAAAACGGTTCGGTACCGGGAACGGGAAAAAAATAAAGAGAACCTTTCAGAACCTTATTTTTAGAACGGGACCATTTCGGTCCGGTGCGGTACGCGAAAATGTGGTTTTTTTGTCCACCCATAAGCCCAACTAGCATTTTCTTACTATAGTCAACGTCCGGTGAAGCCCGATTTTAAAGCCATTCTTAAAGTACAAGCCCAATTTAAAAGCCCATTTCTACCCCAAATCCTAATCCTCCCACTCTTATAAATACATCATCTCCCAACATCAAACTCTAGCACACCATCCTCATTTCACCTTCATCTTCATCCAAATTCAAGAGCAAAATTTTTTAAAAAAAAATATATCATCTCCATAGCCATTAATAATCCTAAGTCTCAAAAATAGCATTCACATAGACAAAATTTCATTTCCTTTAGTCAAAATACACAAAAATCCGGCCAAACCCTTTTCCGGTCTGATTTCGGCCACCTCCGGCAAGAACTCCAGCCGCCGGCGAGTCCTAGGCCAGCCCCTGGTCTGCAAGCAGCT